CAGTGACCTGCTCAGCCTTATTAAAATGTTTTTTTAATCAGTCAGAGGTCTAGGAGTGCCAATAGGAGGGGACACCGTCAAAGATGACTGTAAAGGCCATCTATTCCCACAGTGTTTGGACCAACAGAGTCCAAAACTGTAAATACTGAAATTGTTTAGGAACTACTTCAGGAGACCCCTCTAATTATTCCATCTTTACAACTCATCCTAAGAAAAACCCAAATTACATCTAAACATTAATAATCAGTGTGTACCTCCATGATCGTCTTTGTATGTTTATGTTTATTTTATTATTTTTGTTTTGCTATTTTGGCTTCACTTGTGAGTGGATAAATGAATGAGAGTTATTTATCCACTCGTTATTTTTATTTGCTATGCCATCAATCTTCCAAGGATTATGAAAAAAAATAAACACGTGTAGCCAAATCTAGCAGATTTACATGGTGAAATCCTTTGCATGCACTGTCAATTTAATATGAATTAAATATTATGAAAACTAAACTTTGTCTTTTGCTTTTACAGAAGTGGTACAAAAGCACAATTGTGCCAGCATTTTATTTTGTACTTATTCTATGTTTTAGACAGTTTATGACATATATCTTAAGCATTAACTGGACTATAGAGGCAGAAATCTCAAACAGAACCTCATACTGAATAGCTTAATCTGAGCTTGAATGCTGTTAGCTTTGATGTTTTAGCCTGTCAAGCTAAGTTAGCGTCGGTCGCCATGGTGATCAGGCGGGGACAGTGCAGCGTCGGTGGGAGCACGAGCTGGATGCTGATTAAAACGTTCAGCTACCGATAAAAAACAATATGTCGGAGTGAAAATAAAACACAAGTCAGCCTTCTTTCCTAACGCTGAATGTGGGGAAGGTATAGGGTGCGTTTTACGATGGGTCTCACCTTCCCACATGCTCCGTCTCCAACCACCACAATTTTGAGCTGCTTGTCCTGGCTGTCCTCCTCCGAGTCCGACATGACACTGCCTGTGCTCCAACCCGCGTCAGTCCGAAACGCCCCGGTAACCAGTTACAGGTTGCTGTCCGGCTGTCGGAATAATCACAGATGGATTAAAGCCGAGTTGACTGGAGAACCAGACGCCATTTTGACTCCACAAACGCAGAGTGCAGCTGCTCTCCCCTCGGTATCATCCACTAACGTACCGCTGCCCCGACCGTTTCCCTCCTGAAACAGACTACAAGAGAAACACTCTCGAAGCCACGGCTTGGCATGTCAGTCTGTAAACACGGTCAGAATCCCCATGAACTCCTTTGTGTTCACAGGAAACGGTTCGAACCGGCAACAGAATCCTCCGGCGTGTGTGCGGTCCAGTCTGTGCTGTGTGTGACGTGTTGTCGTTGCCATGATAACGCCAGACAAAGTAAGGGAGTGAAAAGTGAAAACCTAAAAATCAAAGAAATACTTAAAATAATTACAGCCTGCAGGATTTTAAGTTGTTTTACAATTCACATTTTCGATCATTATTTTTTTCAAACTGTAATACATTTTTGTAATTTATGGAGGGTGCGTTTTATGAAGTTTTGGTGCCGTGAAAAACATTAAAGTACCCAATTATAAGCGTTTTATAGACCACTTTAATAACCCTTTTGTCCTTATAGAGGTAAATGTACGTCATACAATGTTTTTGCCCGCCTGTTATTTCGGCTTCACTGACTATTGGTGAAAGTGTTGGAATAAAATACATTTAATGATTAAAAAAATTAATAAGATAATAAATAAATAAATAGAAAATCCTATTAGTGGCGCAACCAAAGGGGACCATGGATGGATGGCTACCCCTGTAAATTTAGTGCTCCAGCTGGCCAGTCTAATATGGACGAGATGTACATATGAATTTAAGATAGAAGACAAGTGAGGAAAAATCGAGAATTTATTTTTCTATTTTTTTCAGTGTCCCCTTTTTTATTTGTTTTAGTACGCCGCTTTGGAAGCGCATGTAGCATAGCTCTAAAAATTCTTCTATGGCTTTTGGTTGTATTAATAATTATATGTGAACTTCACCTTGTCGTCCCTTTTGAAAACTATGGGTGCCCCTAAGGGATACATTTCAGCTTGACTTTGTAAATAACACATTTTGGCAAATCAGTTCAGTTCAATAAAAGTTATTGTCATGTACAAGAAATAGTACTGAAATTAAATTCTTGAACTTCTCAGTTTTGTGTAGTAAAGCATGGTAGTATACAATCAATAAATTCAGTAAATAAAAATAAAATGTTTGAAAAAGTGATCCATCCATCCATTAACTATACCTTCTTAACTTCATAGGGTCATGGGGGTCTTCTATATATATAAAAAAGAATCCTTTAACCCAAAAAGCAGACTCGAAACAATCTAAATAACTGATGTCTTTTATGGAAGTGGCTGCAGTGCATAAGAGGAATTCACATAAAGATATGTGCCCCGATGCTTGTGTATTCCTAACCTGATGGAAACAAAGTGGAATGGGTCAGAAATGGGTGGATTGCAACAGTTGTGTTATCGGTACGTTTGTTATAGTTGCTGGGGAAAGTTGGTTGCAGTTGCTGGAGAAGTTATGTGAGGGGAAGGCTTCCCCCACACAACTATTATTTATTTATTTTGTCCCCCTGCACTGACGTTTTGAGTACTTGTCACTCATTCCTACTGTAACCTAAGCCCCCACTCACCCATTAATGACAACATCTTAATAAAACTCCTGTAATTTGGGTTAGGATGTTTGGTTTTGGTGTGCCATCCCTGGACCATCAGTGATCTCCATCTGGGCACCACATTTGAAAACCTGTCAAAGGCACACATGGCAGTAATATATTGAGGTTTTGCATTGAACCATTCCAAAGGTGTATGACTGTTATGCATGCTGTTGAAATGCTGTTAAAATCAACCTTTTAATTCAAAAAGACACTTGATTCAGACAGACATTCTGCTTTTCATAAATGTATTATCACTCTGCAAACTAAGTATATAACTAACATAAACAATTACTAAGGGATATTGACACCGTGATATATAACAAGCAATCTTACCGGGATGAATTATTGCATTTTCAGGTTTTATTTTTGCTTAAGTGAATCAAGTTTTGGTGACAAAATAAGTTTGTAAAGTAAGCATTGAACTCAAAATGTAGACAGTCAACAAAAGTCTTGAAGTAATCATTTTGCTTGTGAAACCAGGTGCCAAGCTGTAGAAGAAATTCTTTGGGTTGCTGTTTATAAAAAGGATTTGCTTCATGTCAATGAAATCACACAGGCTCACATCAGCATTAAGTCTAAAGGGAACTAACAAACTCACAGGCTTTTCTGAAGGATTCTAGCCCAAGAGAGAGTAAATATACAGAGGTTTTTATAAATCCTTCTGGCATTGCAAAGACAAATATTTTTGCAACAACTTGTAGCAGCTTAACTTAAGAAAAAAATATCATATAGTAATACAATAATTTTAGACAATTCACAAATTGCTTTGTTGATTTAAATCCAGCTTTTACTCCAAACAGCATTCAGGGTTCCATTTTCTCCATCTTTCTTGTTTTTATATAGTGGCACATTACAGTGTATATACCTCTTAAGGCAATTTACACGATAAACAAGTGCAAATCATATCAATATAGATGTCCAAATTAAATTTGAATCAACAATTCTTAGTAAAAGTAAAAAATATATATATTTAAAAATATTATTTTTGGGACTCCAAAATTTAGCAAACTACAAGCTGTGAAATAATCACAACTTCATGTGTGATGCCCACCAATGGTTTGTTTTCCTCCAATTTACAGAATTAAAAATAAAAATTTACAGTCTGTTCTGTTGAGGTGTAACTCTCTTTAAAGCCTCCAGCTGTTTTGCAGACAGTGTTGTTTGAAATTGTGATCCATGTGGTCCAGAGGTTGAATCACGGGGCATGAAGAGGAATCTGCTCCTGGGCCACTGTGAAGCACATGGCTGAGGAAGAAAGGAAAGGAAAAGAAAGGAAAGGAAAGGAAAGGAAAGGAAAGGAAAGGAAAGGAAAGGAAAGGAAAGGAAACTTCATCGAACAATGGCATGGTTTTTAGAAGCTGAATTCAAAACGTGATGAGGTTTTAATCTGGAATAAAACAACAATTTGAAGTAAAAATAAAAAAGAAGCAAGAATTAGATAAAATAATAAATTTGTATTTGTAGTGAATGGGCTTTTACGAAGACTGATAAAGATTAGTTGTGTCTCGTAATTTCAAAAATCTAGTATTCTGCTGCAGCTTGTTGTTATTTTATCTAATAAACCGATATACTTACAAACAAACGACTCTATAAATGCAAACAAATATTCAAAGCTGATCAAAATCTATTTCAAATGTATGTAGATAAAACATTTGGACAAAAATATTTCACACTTGACTGCCTTTTCTGTCAGATTTTTCTTGACGTCCGCTCTCCTTCCCAAGTCCAGTGCTCTTGATTTAGCAGATCATCATATATAAAGAAGTGTTAATAATTTTCACTAATTAGATACTTATTAAGACAGAGACTCGACTATATGCACCAGCATAAAGAAGACATTCACAGTCCGATTCGTGTTGCGGGACTATATGACCTCTGTGTTGAAAAAACAACATTGAGGAAAAACCAATAACGATGACCAGTAAAATAATTATGTGATTTAAATCCCTCGTTCATAATTTATATGGAGCAACAAGTTTGATTATGTGACCCCAGACTCATGACGCGCCAAATTACGCACGTTAAACTGAACCTGAAGTATTTAAATGGAATTTGTTGTTTCATAGGAATTAGTCAGATTTTTTTTTATACAGAGGGGCAATTAAGATAAACACATAAACCAAACCAGAGCTGATCCCTGGGGTGTAAATGTTTCTTTCTTCTTCTTCTTCTTCAACAAATATGTATCGCAGCGAAACAAGGAAATAATAACCAAAAATCCCAAATATTTTGAGCAGGAATTAAAGTCGGCCAATAATTTTCTTGTAAACTTTTTTTTTTGCATGTAGAAAGAAATTCATTTTATTTTCAAAGAGTATTTGCTCATTTATCGCCCAAATTGGGCTATTATTGTGCGTCTACGCAATAAAGAAATAATGGGGAGACAGGATGATGGACGCCAATAGGGATGTTTCCCTCCTAAATACAAGGATGAAAGGAATACCAGCTCCTATATGTCCCTCTGTATCATATATGTAGACATGCAGGTACATATACATGGTATATGTGGGACGGTCCACTCGTCACTATCATCACTGTGTGTCGTTTCGAAATCCGAAGCAACCAAGGATGCGTTGGCTGCTTTGGATCGCATGCCGACATCTAACAGATCAGCGGTGTGTAAGACTGTTGCGCAACAAAAATGAAGGGAAACGGTTGATACGCAGCCATCTGAAGCAGACAATATTAAGTGGATTTCAGTACGTTTTGACTGATTTGCAGTCCAATGTTCTCAAGTAGGGGATTGAATAAGCCTTTACAAGGTCAAAGATGAGGGAGTATTGCACGCACGGCAGCTCCCTTCTGACCTCAACTTAACACCCAGGCTGTAAATATACTCGGAACAACAAGCCTACGCGACTCCTGCAATATTTCAGTTCCAATATAAAAACCTCAATCCGCGAAGAAAGAGGCATTTGAGCGTTTCTTTAGCATAAAGGAGGGGGAAAACCGCTCAAAGGGCAAAACGAGAAACCTATTCTTTGTTCTTAAATGTAGGTGAAGTGACATGGGCCTCCTTAACCCCGGAATACTCCTCTGCTTGTGATGACATAGAGCCGTAAAGGTAGCTGTCAGTTCGGCCTGTGCAGGAATTACAGAGCTATTCATCATGGTGTGGCAGGAGGAAAGCTACCATGGCTCAGGTGAAATAAAATATCTGACGGATTATGTTGTAAAGAGACGAGAGAGTGAAATAAAATTACACTTTATTTACTAAGTAAATCATTGTTTTTGTTTTGTTTTTAATATCAAGCCCCGGGAGTTTCCCCTGGAGGAAACAGAAAAACCAGTTCAAGGCATGGAAATGATTTAACCAAATCAGTTCAATTCCCTGATCACTGCAGATGGGTATAGAATAAACTAAAGAATACAATGTAGAGAACTGGTAATTAGTATTACTGATCATGCCTACATTTTACCTGACCACTTTGCAAATTAATGTGTGCGTAAAAATGGAATAACGCTCCAAAATGTTGGAAAACATCCTTGTTTTCTACGTTGTTCCCAGTAAAAGAACGCAAAACAAAAAAAAATCGCATCCAGATCCAATAATTAATGCCTGATATGTTTTAATGTTATTCGATCTAAACAACCATTCAACACAAAAACATGCAAATTTCAGTCAGAAGTCGCTTCGCGCCACTCTCAGGCCCAACAAGCCCTTCTTTTAAGTCCGAACCCGCACATGCGCGCTGCATGCATTTTACACGAAGAAAAATGACATATATGCTCAAAAGTGCTTAAATATCTTACCTTTACAAACACAGCAAAAAATTAATAAAAAAAAACCCAAACACAATCTCTAACAGAGAGTTGCTCGTTTTAAAAAATGTCAATGGAATATATCTATTTCCAATCACTGCAGAGGTAGGAAGGCGCATGTAAAATCATATAAGGTGTCATTTTAAGTCTGTAGGGTTCTTGAGGGGGTCCCAGCATCGAGATAAAATGACATAAATCAGTTTTTTATATCATTCCAGATAGTTTATAAGTACATCTGCAGATCAGACACAGACTCTTACTAACATATTATTTAAAGTATTTGAGAGTGTAAAAAAGTCTAGGAACAACCCAATGACAAATCAGGGATGCAGAGCTCATTAACTTTCCCCTCAGGGCTCTTCTTCTTGTCAAAAAAACAAAACAAAAAAAAAACGTAAAGTTATGTTGGTTCCCGGGAAGAGAAGCAAACAAATGAATAATAAATAAAAGTCTCAGGGTTCTCACTGATTCCCCGCACACGCAGACAGTGTCCACGCAGGGAGGCAGTACGCGTACGGGTAGTAGTAAGAAGGCTGTAGGGAGAGCAGCGGGGGCCGCAGGATCTCCCCGGGGCCGTACTGTCTCTGGTCGTCCCGCACTAGAACCTTCACCGCTACCTTTTTGGCCGCCGGGGTGGATGTCATCAAGTCTGCGGCCATCTGCCGGCGTTTCGTCTTGTAGCGGCGGTTCTGGAACCAGATCTTGACCTGTGTCTCTGTCAGTTTCAGGGAGGCCGCCAGGTCCGCCCGCTCGGGCCCGGAGAGGTACCGCTGGTGGTTGAAGCGGCGCTCCAGCTCGAAGACCTGTGCGTGGGAGAAGGCGGCTCTGGAGCGCTTCTTCCGCTGCTTGGGCTGCTCCAGGTTCTTCTCGTCTGGGTTACTGGAGTCTGCGGAGAAGACGCATAAATTGGATGTGCATGTAATTTCTGATATTCAACAATAATTTACGTCCTTCTTTTTTTTTTCTTTTTTTTTTCCCTTTTTTTTTGTTTTTTGTAATAAACAAATTATTTGACTTGATTTCAGGTAATTAAATTGAATTGAATTATCTTAAGATTGATCAGTTATAAGGAGACATCTCCAATTTATCCAGAAGATTTGTAGAATATTATAATTAAAAAAAAGACGTCTCATGAACTCTGCAATTCTATCTTACAGTATAAATGAATATTAATACAGGAAACATAGATATAATAGTGAGGGGCTTAAAAATGTGCCAGAGTTCCCATTTATAATCAAGCATAACCAGAGAACAATTCGTGCGTAAAAGCGAGCAGGATGTGGAGAAGTCTTTGCAAATTAGGTTCAGTGTCCTAAACGACTGTCGTGGTCAACTCATCTCTGCCCACAAAACAAAACATCCATTATTAACAATTGTTACGCAGTTTGACTCAAAATCTGCAGCTTTAACTCAAAAACAGCCGCTGTGACACATTCAGGTGTTTTTACGCACGTATGCGCGTCTTCTAAAGGCCTACCCACCCGTAGTATTGTTGGGCTCACTGTCACTCTTTGCATTCTCCGCAGCCGCAGACTCATGGTCCGTCTCCTCCTGCAGGCTCTCCTCTGGCACATCTGACCCCGGCTCGCCGTCCCTCTCCGGCTTGCGCATGGCCGGAGTCTTTCCGTCGTTGTCGTCGCTGAGTCCGGAGTCCGAGTCGTAGCTTTTCTGCTCTGTCCGCACACAGGACGCATCGTCGGTCCTCCCGGATTCGTCGTTCATCTCTCCGAATATTTTCCAACACGCCGCTTTGGAGAAGCATACGTCCAGCTCTGGTAAGTGTCTGCTGCTGTCCTTTTTGTTCAGGATGGCCTGGATGGAAAAAGGCATCAGCGAGTTGCCACGGACGGCCATTTTTTTCCAAGGGGAGCGACGCTTTGCTCGGTGTTTTAAGTTGAGTAATCAGCCCTGGTGGAGGAGGAAATGTCAGTTCATCCACATTTTAGGCTGCTCCCTCACAAGAGTTCTGCTCAAGCTGAACTTTGTCCCTCCAGCGCAGCTTTCCGCTCTCATTCCCGCAGAAGAAGAGGAGATTTTGCAAAAACCCGCTGGCGCGATGCTGATCCACCGCACAGATCTGCCATCAGCTCAGACTCTTTCCAGACTCCGGCCCTTTTTGCCCATTTTTTCAACCAAACAGCCTCACCTGTGACTCACATGCACTCCCCTCCGACGGCTATTGGCTAAACTGGAGGAAAGCCTTTTTAATGATTGGTCACTGCATAAATGACGTCATGCTGCCTTCAATCGGGTGGGAGAAAGTTAAGAAAAGTTTAAAGGAAGCTTTTTCTTTTAAATTATTGGACCCTGAAGTGACAAGCAGGCTGGATCTTCATCTATTTCTGTAACAAAACACTTCTCCAAATCAGCGATCAAACTATCTTTGCAGGAATGGATTTTGCTTGTTGGTTGAGTTTGGATGTTTTGAAATCATGTAAAAACAATCAGCAATTGTCAGAATTTAGCATTTTATGGGATAGACACATTAAGGCTCAAAGAGAAAAATAAAACAATCCAATATCACAATAAAACAATAAAACATATGGGAAAGCATATCCAGGTTTCTCCACATCGCCTAAATCCAACATTACTCTACTTTATTACAATAAACGCGCAGGAATTTATTATTATTATTAAAGGTTTTCACTTCATCATTTTGACAGCTCTGTCGGTAGCCTAATATGAGTGTTTCCTCAAACTGGGAAGCAAGTCTAGAATTGACGCAACAAAGTGGGAGATGCTTTCCGGATCACTCGGTGTCTGTTGTGTTTTGTTTAACCTGCATCGCAGTCGAAGTGCTGCTGCAAAAAAAAAAAAAAAAAAAAAAAAAAAAAAAAAGAACGGGTAGACTTTAACATGTGCACACAGTTCCTGATAATATGGGCCTGAATGCAGCTGCGGGGTGTCTCAATTGAGGAGGGGAAATATCATTAAAGCGTGAGATCATAAGTGGTGACCCAAAGATGCGTAAAAATGCGCACTGAGAAAATGTTTGAGAAAGAGGAAAAAGTGCGTTTTTTAATAGAATATAAACATAAGGATATACAAATACATTATATGTTGCCTAAAGCGACATCCCGGAATCTAGAAATTTGAATATTTGTCCTGAAGATCCACATCAGGACCTTCCACTCTCTGCCTTTCACAGCTTAAACCGCCACCAAATTACAGCAGGACGCGTCTGATTAAAAGCTAGGCGCATTTGCAAACCGCAGGTTTTCCCTGTTTAAGTGCGCAGAGCATAATGAAATGACCGCATAATTAGGATCCAAATGCTTTGCTTCATTCACGCCTTTCTGGAAAGGCATTTAATTCAGGCGTATCATTTCTGGCCTCATGTTTGGAGGCCAATGATTATTATTATTATTATTATTATTATTATTATTATTATTATTATTATTATTATTATTATTATTATTATTATTATTATTATTCATAGAGTTATTCTGTCACACTTAAGTTTTGTTTATTAAGCCTTTATTAACACATACAAACAGAACCTAGACCTGGTTGATTAAAATGAAATGTATTAATTAAACTGAGGGAAATTATAAAATAATTTATTATTATTATTATTATTATTATTATTATTATTATTATTATTATTATTATTATTATTATTATTAACACTATTTTAAATTAAAGTGCATATATGTTACACTTGTTTGTGCGTTGTGCCCAAAACAAATCATTTGAAGAGACACAATAGTACCGCCTGTGTTCTACAAATGTTTTGTAAATTTAAAAAAATATATATATGTTAATTATTTTCCTGCTGCTCGTCTTTTAGAAAATATTTAAATTGTTTTTTGAAACGTAAATCTCAGGGGCAAAAGCATCCAGCACTCCTTTGATAAAGTCAGCATCACACTGGTGTCACAGCCTGCATGTAACTTATGGGAATTAAATAGATAATAAGATGTGCTGAGTTTGAATTTATGCTGAATTACAAAGAAAATGATCTGAGGTCAGCTCTTCCAAAGCCGACAGATCATACCATCTAGTGGCCACTCAATATACCTCTCTGATTTTTATTTTCTGACATCTTTTACGTCCGTAACGTCATGTCTGACCAGACATAGTAAAATTGCTTTGCATATTTTATCCCATGGTGAAAATGTCACTCCAAATCAGCGGCAGACTTCTTATATAAACAATAATTACATTACGTTGGATTCCTGTGTGGGATAAACACGAATTATAATGGTGCAGAGATTTGTGAGTCATTGTCTCAGGACTGCAGGATACTTGGGAATAAAAAGTCTGTCGCCGCAACATAAAAAAAAAACACAACTGAAATTGGTGGGAAACACAAACCGCAGATACATCTGGAGATCTTCACACACCCTGCCCTTGTTCTATCAGGAACTCCTCATCCCGTCCAAGGCCAACATCACACCCATTTTCTACTGACCACTATTGGAATATGCTTAGATTTTTTTTTTCTTAGTCATTTCTTTGTTCGTCGTACACTTTTTTTTTTATGCAATACTCTTGTTTTTTTTTTGTTTTTTTTGTTGTTCTAAAACCAGCCTCCCTGACCCGCTGCCGCTTTATAAACTGGGAAAAGTGGAGGAGTGCTAGAGATGTCCAACAATGTGAGGCCATCCCGGTGATGTGGAGCAGAGCACTGCTGGTTGAGCCGAACCTCACTGCGAGGAAGAGCAGCAGTAAGTGGCAGGAAATGTAAACAGCGGCTTGGTGTAAACCGAATTAAAAACGTCATGGTGTTCCTCTGCTTTACTGTAGTATTTCCAACAGTCATTCCCCTTTCTCTTAAATAGTGAATCAATTATATTTAAAATAATAATTATAATAAAACGTCGCTGCTCTCTTGTCTCTCTAATCAGATGATAAGATGAACCAGCAGTGTTTTACTCTCAGTGGAAAACCTATGAATTAATGTCAAAATGAAATGGTTCCCGTCACAAGTTTAATCTATTTCTGATATTCTTCAACATCGACCACAGACTTATCTTCCAGTGTTAAATATTCACATCAAATAAAAGCAGAGCAGGAGCACTGCTGTAAATATACAGGAACACACTGTATATTTATGTTAAAAATTAAATGGAGCAGTAAAAGATAAATTCAACTTTTAGGTTTATGATCAAGTTTTTCTTATTTAAATACACGTTTTTGTAAGATTTGTGATGACATAAATTTGTATTATTAATAATAATGCGTATGATTTGCATATATTTATTAAATGGCCACAAATAATTTTCTTTTCTTTTTTCCATTTATGACATTTTAGCAATTTAAACAATTTATTGTGATTTTAAATGTAGTTTTTATGTTACTAAGAAACAAAAATGAGAGGCGTGATTATAAGTATAGTATCGGTAATATTTTTTTGTTCTGTAGTTGAAATAGACGACGAACACTTGCTAAGATCAAACATATATTTTCAATGTGTTCACTGCCATGTTTCAATTTATTTAATTTTATCTTTCCAGAAGAAAAGATTCCGCATCTTTTAGCAAAGCACTTTACAATGGAGTGACATATTTTTTATTAGGTTATATGTTTCAAATCTTTCAAAAATGTCAACAATAATATGTAAGAGTGGAAAAACAATATAAACAACCCAAACCTTTTAAGAAATGCTTGAGGTCCCTTCTCCAGAAATCTGACATTTCAAATTAAACCTGAACCAACTGGGTCTTTTGTGTGTGCTGGCTCCCTCTGGTGGTAGGAATAAGAAACGTCAACAGTAGAATGAAACTGGAAACATTAGACATTTATTTCATAATGGCAATGCCAGGAAACTGTGTATTTTATCCCCCACCACCACCACTGATGACATGAATCCTTTGATATTTCCAGATTCTTTGGCTGCTCACATTCAGTTTAACTCTGAGGTGAGATTCCTGCCACGCTTCCAGTAAAGAAATAAACTTTAATGGCAAATTACACCATTACTTTCACCTCTGCCATCCTGACTCATGTTTTCTTGTCACTTCTGTTAACTTTAATCCTCTGATTTAAAAAAATATCTCACCCGATGCAGCAGCACATCATGTACTCTGGTAATGTCTCTGTTTCCTCCCCTCTTCAGGCTGTGTTTATGACAGGTTTTGATTTTCTTCTTTTTCCTCTTGTGTAGTATTAAAAAAAAAAGGAGAAATGCCCCAAATTATACCCAAGCCTCCCTCTTCCTTTTGATGCCAAATTGTGATCAGATGGAGCAATATTAGAGAGGGCAGTGCCAGGAGTCATTTGCAGTAAATGCTCCCAAACGCCCTCTAGATTTCTCATCAGATGTCTGATCGCACACTTGATCAACTTCAGCACTGGAAAGTGGGGGCTTACTGCCAGCTCTAAGTGCAGTTTTAGTCGCTGAAGCTACGACCAAAGCTTCTTTTTTTTTTTTTTTTTAAAGAAATAATGATCCTTGCATGCAACCGAGCTTTAAAATGGCAAAGCACTTGAGACAGAACACTTAGCAGCAAATGGAAGCAAGACTCAAGCGGAGAGAAGGATCCTCTGTCTCCTTCCTGGAAGCTTTTTAAAGCAGCCCAACAATGGCTGCAGAACTGCAGACACAAGAGCAGAAGCTCCTTACTGTTACAGTCCAATTAATGTGTGTAGATAGCACAGGCGTGATTTATAGTTTATTTTCACCACCGTCGTGCAGACAAACGAGCTCCCATCAGACTCTGGCATGCAACACATAATGCATGCAGCTCAAGCACATCATGAAAGGCTCCCGGGCTCTGAAGGGCCTTTGGCTGCCTACTCAGGGCTCTTTTCTCCTCCGCTCACGCCTAAATAAAGATGTCCTTCAAATCCTTTCACCGGGTTCATGTCACATGCAAAAAAATATCACTCTTGGGCACGGGAGTGGATGTGGTTATGGATACTTCAAGGGCCATTTAGAAATTCTTGAGATATTAAGGTTCTCTTCTTTTCACACGGTGAAGTGGGAGTCGGAGACAGCAGCTGCAGTTTTTGTGTCATGAATGCAAGCGCTGCATTTATCTCTCTCAGAAGTGTCCAAGGAACAGCAGCGCCTCGATCTGCTTATTCAGGGACTGAGTTTGTGGAACTGATTAATCACCTTTTCTGTGGAATGCAGAAAGAAGAAGAAAAAAAAAAGTTTAAACCTGTCCAGGCTGTCCAAAACAGAA